AGAAGGAACAATCGCCTCCTGTACCAGTCAGATCTGATTTGACGGTACACACACAAATAAAAATTTAAAAAAAAACCAAACTGGGGAAAAGCTTACCCCATTTTTGTGTGTGTGCTAAAGCCCTCTGGAGAATGGTTATTAGGGGAATGTCTTACAAAAGAAAATTATACCATATGGCACCTGATAAATATAAGCTGATTTGGAAGACATGTGAGCACTTTACCACTTTCACAGTCAGAGTTAAAAACTGAGAACTTAAACCCCAGAGATTACAGACATAATAGGAGGGTGAAAGAAGTAATTGGTAACTTCAAGAGAGCAGTGATTAAACAACTCCTAGATGAAAACTCTCAAGGAATAGGTATAGAAGTGCCAATTATTTCAAACTGTTGAGTTGAATTTGTTGTTGCTGTTGTTGTTGTGTACTACTGAGTGGGAACCAACCCAGGGTTGACCCACCAGAGAGTTTTCAGAGGCAGTAATTGCACAGGAGGATTGCAACCATGTGCCTTTGGGAGTGCAGGGCAGCTTCTTCCAGTGCAGTTATTTCCATGGGAGGAGACTGCCCAACCTTCTTCCACAGAGCAGCTGGTATATTCAAACTGGGATTACAGTGAAGCTTTTTACCATGAGACCAAAGCTTACCTCTTTAGTTTGGTAGGTGCAGGCATTCATAATCACATTAGAAACAACAGATAGAAATCTTGCCCTATCCGACACCATCTCTGCAGGCTCAAGCTACTTGTTGCAGTCAGTGCCAATCTATCTCATATAATCTTCCTGTCTTTCACTGATCACTCATCTTGCCTAGTATGATGTCTTTTTTCCAAAGACTGTCCGCTCCTGACAAGAGCCTAAAGGAAATGAAACAAAATTTCAACATCCTTGTTTCTAAGGGGCACCCTGGTTGCCTTTCCTCCAATACAGAGTAGTTTGACTTTTTGGCAGCCTATGGATGGTGAAGAGATTGAGATTGTTCACAGCTTCAGTTTGCTCAGCTCCACGGTCAACACTCTTGGTACCAGCAGCCAGGAAATAAAAAAACGTATTGCATGGGAAAGTCTGCTGTTAGGGACCTCTCTGAAGTACTCAAGAGCAACGGTGTCTCTCTGGAGACTAAGGTGTGCCTGATACAGGCCATGGTCTTTGCAATCACTTGTTATGCATCAGAGAGTTGGACAATGACTAGGAAAGATAGAAGGAGAATTGATGCCTTTGAGCTGTGGTGCTGGAGAAGAGTATTGAATGTATCATGGACTGCCAAGAAAACAAACAGATTCATCCTGGAGAGGGTTAAACCAGGCTACTCCTTGGAGGCAAGGATTCTGGGGCTTTGTCTGACATACTTTGGACTTGTTGTAAGGAGAGGCAGGTCCTTGGAAAGAGACATCATGCTTGGTAAGATGGAGGGACAGCGCAGGAGGGGAAGACCTTCTATGAGGTGGATTGATTCAGTGACTGGGGTAATCGGGATGGGTGTGTCAGAGGCCATGCGATTGGCACAGGATAGAGCAGGGTTTAGGGCTGTTGTACATAGGGTCGCTATGAGTCGCAAACGACGGCACATAACAACAACAACAACAACGATATATAATTTAATTAATTAATTAATATAAGAATGAACATTCTTTAAGTGGCACTGCAGTCATTTGTCTTTTTGATGTACTGAATAACTTGGAATTACAAATCAATGTGCCATAGCTGTGTCAAATGACATGGTAGTTACCCATCATGGACAGTGTTTGGAGGAGCTTCCGGATTGATTCAGGTTTGGAAGCAGGAGTGGCATCCACTTCCTTAACCACATGCCTATGGAAACTCTGTGAACTTGGAGAAACTACGATAGTTATAGAAAGGCATTAGGTCTTTTGTTTATAGAGTCGCTATGAGTTGTGCTCGACTCAACAGCAATAAATAACACAGTATACTTAATAATTTCACCAACACCACAATTTAAGGTACTAATTCTTCTTTGGGCTTTCTTATTCATTGTCCAGCTTTCAGATGCACAGGAAGCAACTGGAAATACCATGACTTGGGTCAGGACTAATTTAATTTCTAAACTGACATCATTGCTCTTTACCCCTTTAAAGAGGTCCTTTACAACATATTTTTCCCAATGCAACACATATTATATTTTTATGACTGCTGCTATCACAGAGGCTAATTTTGGCTCTAAGTAAAATGAAATCACTAAGAACTTCAAACTTTTTTCCATCTATCATAATGTTGTCTATGGTCCAGTGGTAAAGATTTTTGATAGTTTTCTTGATGATGAAGTGTAATCGATACAGAAGGCTGCATGCTTTGATCTTCAAAAATAAATCTTTCAAGTCTTCACTTTCTGCAAACAATGTTTTATCATCTGCATAACACGGGATGTTGATGAGTCTTACTCTAATCATGATGCCACATACAATCTAGCTTCTTTAATGATCTGTTTAATACACAGACTGAATAAGTATGAAGAAAGAATAAAATCATTGATGAACACCTTTCTTAATTTTAATAATTTATAATACTTAATGATTTTAATAAAATATTCTCTTGTTCTGTTCAAATGACAGCTTCTTGGTCATGTACTGGGTTTTTCTGAGAAAAATTAAGTGTTCTGAAATTTCCATTCCTCTCAATGTTGTCCATAATTTATTATGATCCACCCAATAGAATGTCTTTGTATAGTCAATGACACTTTTGCACAGTTTTTTTTTACACTGCATTGTAATCTCTTCTAATTCATAGCAATCACATTGGAACAAGTAGAACTACCATAACGAGTTTTGAAGACTGTTGTCTTTATAGAATGTGGTAAAAAGTGCTTATTGTTCTAATTCGCTTCCCTAGCCATTGGCCGACTCTGCCATATGGATGAGCATGAACCTGCAAATAAGACATGTTAGCCTATTTATAAGGAGATTGTCTACTCTCACCATTAAATTGAGCTGATCCAGTAGCAAAATTGAAGGATCTTCTCCACCAGCAGCAAAGAAGAAGTGAGAGAATACAGTGTAAGAAAAAGACAAGAGGCAGCATTCATTGGTCAAGAACCAGGCATTAAATATGAAGAATGAGACCTTTCCTCTCTAAATTTTAATCGCTTTGTATAGGAAAAAGTTTCTTCATAGAGTTATTGCTGAAAGAAATAATGTAACGATGTATTTTTTAAAAGAAAAATGAAGACACACCCAAAATCCAAATTAAAAACCCACTCAAAGTTGCATCTATATTATCATAGACTTAATAAATGATACAGTAACAACCAGAGCAGAGCAATAATAGTAAGAAGTAAAATTTAATAATCAAAGAGGAAAATTCCTGAAGAAACAGAAAAAAAGACCTATTAACTCTGACTGGGGTCATTCAGAAAGAATGACCTTGTGAAGGTGATAAAAGTAAGAGTTTAATAGACAATAGATTTTTGTGTGGTGCACTGAGAAAGGACAAAAGAGTTGTGAACTGCAGAGTATGCAAAGAAGTAAGAGATTATTACAGCCTCAGTGGGAGATATGACAGATAGTGAGTGAACCACTGAAAGTACAGTGACTAGTAGAAAGCCTCTCAGAGCAGCGAGTCACCCACAGTGATAACTCACAGGCGAGGAATCTGGGGGCACTGCTGTATGCCTTGTTGTTGTTGTTGTATGCCTTTCTCCTCTCTATCTCACCCTTGATCATGATAAGTCCCCTTGACATGGAAACAGACCCAGCCTGACCCTAGAATGTACATAATGTTTTATACCTTCTGAGAATTCTACACATCTTTGAGTTCTACTATGTATGTAGTGATGTATTTAGCTGCCACTATGTCCTCTTACAACTCACAGTGATGTCATGCACAACAGAACAAAATGTTACTGGACCTGCATCACCCATGATCAGTTACAGATTGAACTGCTGTAAAACAGGATAAACTGGATGATATATGATAAAATAAATGCAAATATAAATATTGGGCCTTACAGCTTGCAAAGAGCAAAGAGAACAATGGAATAAATGAAAATGACAGAAAAAATTCATGAAGATGACCAGAAGCAGAATTTTCACAGAATGTGAAAAGTTTCAAGCAACTCATTGAAGTCGTGCAAGAAGTAGATAATGTCAGGAGCGGGTGGTTTTCTGTTTTTACTTTTGTTTTAGTAAAAAAAGGTAGGAAGTAGAAAAGGCAACAGAGAAAGAAGAGCCAGACCTCCCTGAACTTTCAAGTTGCTCTCAGCTCCCAGAAGTCTAGGGCAAATGCATTAGCATTAAAACCACAAAGAAGCATCACTCCAACTTTCCAGTGAAACTCAACAAGACATCTCCACAGTCACATAACTCTCTAGACAGCTTTACTCTCAGCAGCCTAGACAACAAAAGAAGGGAACACAAAACAACCCTAAGCATCTTTGCTCAATTTGTGTGGCCTTCCTATTCAGATATCATCATTAGGAGCTTCTTGGGATATTTGTCCAAAGTGAGCTCTGGTGGCCTAGTGGTAGGATGTTGTGCTGTCTACCCAAAGGTAGGCAATTCAAATTCACCTTTTGGAGGAAGAAAACCGGTCATAAAGTCCTCCTGTGTGACTCATAGCTTCTGCAAGCCCCCTTGAAGGGTCATCTATAAGTCAGTTCCCTTTCAGTAGCAATGACTTGAGTTTTGTGGAGTTGAGGAAGGAGGAGGAGATAATGAAGTTATTGGAAAATCCCTACAGGATAGAAATCTAGATGAATGATAAGGCAGTAAAAATAGAGTAATAGATGAATGAACAGACAGACCAGAGTTCTGTATTCTCCCTAATCTTAATTCTTTGTGTAAACATAGTAATATTGTCCCTCTGAAGTCTCAATCTCTTTGCCTGTATGAGAGAAGATGGCATAGGTGATATACAGGAATTCTTTAAACTTTGATAGGGTAAAACGTAGGACAACAACACTATAAATTCATAAGCTACTTTTACCCAACAAAACAGGGTGCTAATATATTGCACTTTCCTACCACAGGCACCCAAGTACCAGGACTTACCCTCTCCTCCAGGCTGTTTGTATGGGTTGTACTTGGGCTTTGGAGCAACAACTGGTGCAAACTTCTTGGGTGGCTGTTGTGTGGACACGGAAATGCTGGGAGTTCCAAATGAATGGGTGGTCTCCATTCGTGCAGGGACATGGCCAAGGGGCTCTCCAGTGCTTTTAGGTGGCAGCCAAGATGGGTGAGACATTATTGCACTCTGCAATCAAAAAGAGACAAAAGTGGCTGTTTATATGCAACCAAGAAGATAAAAACAACACATATTTATTCATTATCATCTCATCCTAATCTACACTTTCATGCATCTTGAAAAAGCTCTCTGGAAAGAGGAAGAAGAAGAGGAAAAGGAAGGAGAAGGGGAAGGGGAAGGAAGAAGGGGGGAAGGAAGGAATGAAGGAAGGAATGAGGGAAGGGAGGGAGGGAGGGAGGAAGGAAGGAAAAAAGAAGGAGGAGGAGGAGGAAGGAAGGAAGGAAGGAAAAAAGGAGGAGGAGGAAGGGGTAAAGGGAGGAAGGGAGGGAGGGAGGGAGGGAGGGAGGAGAAAAGAAGAAGGAGGAGGAGAGGAAGGAAGGAAGGAAGGAAGGAAGGAAGGAAGGAAGGAAGGAAGGAAGCAACAACAAATAGGAAAGAGGAAGAATGTATGAGGACGAAGAGAAAAAGAGAAGGAAAAAAGAGCATGTCTGCCCCCATCCAATCAGTCTTTAATGTCTTGCTTGCAAAGTTACCATTTTAGTATCTTGCACAATTCAGTAAACAGCCATAAATGACAAACAGTCCCTATTTTGAAGAATTCTTAAAGGAGAAGAATTGGCAAAAGCCAGTTTTATTATCGTTATCAATATTCTTTATTATCCATCAAAACAAATAATTAAAAACAAAATAAAACTCAAAATAAGTCATTGCTATCAAGTTGGAACCAACTTTGGTTGACTCTCCAACAGTATTACAGAGGCTACAAATTGCATGGGGGGAGTTTGTCCACGTTTCTCCCTAGGAGTAACTAGTAGAGTTGAACCACCTGGCATTGGATTGGAAGCTCAACTCCTTACTACTTACTGGAAAACCAGAGCTTAAAATAACTATTACAGCAAATAAGTGTTGATAAGTTATCTAAGTGAAGTAAACCGTTTTCCTGTGATGCAGAGAAGAGATAAGATTACTTCTTGCTTTGACAAGCACTGTGGCATTTGGACAAGAACAAACTGGGAGGAGGGTAGAGAGAATAGTGCAACAATGAATGAATGGAAACCCAAAATCTCTGTAAA